GAAAATGTCTATCAGCCATCTATATGTAAATGGTAAATCCACATGCGCCGCATGAAAGGTCTAATATGATTTTGGGAACGATTGGTATAATATAGTTGTTTACATATTAAATTTTTCGAGTAATTTTCTATCCTTTTAATGGGTATTCGGACCTTTTTGTACAGAATTCATTTGATTTTTTCCCAATAACAACACCGCCGTCGCTATGCAAATGTCACACGTGCCGCCGCCGTTGTATCGGAAGAAAAGACTTTTATAAATTGCTTTTTGTCCCTTCACCACGACCCTACAACCGACATTTTGCTTACTGTTGTGATAGATTATGTATACGACGGAAATGATAATATCAAACCAACCGTGCATGATCGGAAATAAATTTGAAAAAAATCATAAAAGTTTTTGAAACAAATGTTTAGAATACGTATAGCTGAATAGATACGTATGTATCATTACAACTATTTGGTATAGCCGTATAGGTACATATAGGTACAATAAATATTAGTAACAATTTATACTACAAAAAAAAACTAGCGAAGTCGGTACCTTTACTGTGAGTGATACCTCCATTGAATATAGGTCGTCACTGTACCTAAGAGGATAATGATAATTTAAGTACCTATACCGTAAAACAGAAAAAAAAAACTTCGAACAGATTTTTATGTTTTTATAAAATATTATATTATCAAAGTATTCACTGCACAATTATTTATAAAAAAAATATTATATTCTTTACATAAATTATTAGAATACTATTACACTAGGAATCTAAGTACCTAGTGGCTAGTGGAATGTTTCAAGGTCTTAAAATTAATATTAACGAATACCTACTAACAATGTTACAAACTTAAAAAAATTACTTTTGACCCTCCCGAGGTAGGTACCAACAGGCAACAACTATATCCGATTTGCTACCATGATAATATTTATAACCGCCCTCATAAAGTTAAAAATTTGAAGCATTTTTTAATTTTTACATCTCCAAAAGGCGGAAGACGGACACTCAAAAAACCAAAACACATCATTGTAAAACCAATTTATTAATCGTTCATCTCAGAATTTAAAATTTTGAAGCAGAATGAGGTGCATATTACATTATTATTTATTACCATTGATTTATTTGATTATATAATATATTATTGTATTATTATAATATTTATATATTATTGTTTTATATTATAATCAATGATATTACATATTATTAAAATACTAATAATGCAATCAAAGCCTTGCGTGCGGGTTACGACGCGTTGACAATAACATAAATGGCGACCACACGTTTGAAAAAAAATCGATGTTGTAAAAATGTCCAATTAAAGTAATAATAATATCTAATCCGACGTCACAGTAGGTAGGTACCTATTATATTGTTATGTTTTATGCGGAAATATTATAATATGTAATATATTAGGTATATATATATATAATATATATATTATAATATATATATATCGTACCTATTTGATCATCCGTCGTTAGTCCAAGCGACCTTAGTCTTACGACGACTTGTGGTTAACAGTCAAGTACCGCGGTCAGTAATCGGTTCCTACCTATATAAAGTAGGTATACATGTGGGTCGGTCGAGATCACGATTTTTAAACATTAAATTACATTAAATATGGTCCATTTTATATTGCTTATTATAACCACACTAAAATAGCGACGTAACGTCATATTGAGGGAAATAATAATAATATAGGTAAGAAGGCACATTTATTATAGGTACTTATACACTAGTATTGTTTTTTCTTTGTTATCTACTTATTGTATTAATATTTTTATTATTTAAATCGAATAGAGACACCTACGTGATCTCGAAGAGAAGTGGACTCATAGGGAGCAAATTACATTTTTCCGTTCGTTTTGACTTTTGATTTGGCGGAAAAGCATTTAATCATCTCGCGCATAGAAAATAGATGCTATTACCTGAATGAAAATAAAATGTCTAAAAAAGTCGTAAACTGTAAAATACTGATTCCGTCGTGTTGACTAACATTAATTTCTGCATACGACATTTAATGAATCCCCGAACCAAAGTCCGACGAAAAAAGTCCCAAATTTAATAATTATTAAGTTAAGTCACTAATATTTTGCTTAGGTCCAAGAACTAAGGTCTAACCATATTATCTTATAGATTATCACTTTATTTGGAAAGTCTTAAATTACAAATTTATTTCACTTAATCTTTACTTAGGTCTAAGGTCTAACCATATTATCCCAACTACCACCAAAATGTTCATGGCATATGAAATGAATATTCATATTGTCCAAACAGAATATTCATATCTTATTTTTGAATGGTCTGTTATTCTTCTATCAATCTGATTCCAACCATATTTGTCATTAACATCGATTGATTGAACATATTTATATATTTTTTATTTTTATTATTATTGTATTTTTGAAATATTTATAAGAATTCATTAACAACATTAAACATTAAAAACTCTGAATTAAGTGTCGAAGAGTTTTATTTAATTTTTTCATTTAATAAAATATAATTTATGTAATATTTTGAATGTAGTAGGTATAATTAATATAAATTTTAATATTTTTAATTTTTACTGTATATTGTTATACTGTGTGTGTAATATAAATATAAATTTTTACCGGACTTTTAAGTACAATAGGTACCACATATAATACGTAGATACCTTATTCTTCGTTATTTCATAATGTTAATTTTAACACGGCGATGAATGTTTTATAATAATTAAAAATTAACTAGTACCTATTCATATAATATCATAAACCAAAGTCTATATATAATTAGGTAAAGGTGGGTCTGCCGTAGGTACTGGGTATCGCTTACCTATATTTGTTTTCTTACCATATATTATAGCCTATAGGTAGGTAATTGATAAAAAATAAATGTTTACTCCGTTTCACGAATAAAAAAATAATGAATACCTATAATAAATCAATATATTATTTATGTATAAACACTATAAGCCCCGTTTGCGTTAAGCTATACCTACCTACTTTATTTTTCGGTATGATTTTGTAATTTCTTAAAGCGCTTTCGAGAAACTGCAGTCACGTCTCTTCCATATAGATAATATCCTATTATAATATAATACCCTTTCTTCCTATATAATATTCCATTCAGTGCTTGAAAGTCGTCTATATAGGTGTAAGTGTGTAACGCCGTTAGGTGTTTACTTTATAACCGAAAGTCCTTTCGACTGGAGAGGATTTTCTAATGAGTGTTTAACTTTAAGAATTAAGCATTTTCTGTTAGTCTGAATAACGACGAGTTTTATTATAGCAGGGTGTTTAATTTATTATTTTTTGAGATTTCTTTTAATTGCATCATCTGTAGGTAACATTTGGATTGGGTACCAATATCAGAATCTATTTTTTAAATAATTGAACGATACATTTTCAGACAGATTTTATTGAACATATTTAGTATTATTGCACCTTTTACATGTTAACATGTATGAACGTATTAAGTATGTTGGAGCCGACCCATTTTTAGTAAAAAACTAATCCCACTGGAAAAACTCTTAACTAGATATTATTTTTTTCAAACATTACAGAACTAAACAGTAGCTAAATAAGTGGCTTCCATTATAATTGTGTTTGATTTGTTTGATTAGTATACGTTATAACGTCTATAGTAGGAGGTCGTCAACGGTCAACCTAATCTAACAAATTTACAACTATAAAAATGTTTTTGAGATTATGCACTTGATCAACTGATATTTGTATAATTAATATTCCTCAAAAAATCAACTGGTTGGCAACCCCCTAGTCAATAGTCATGAGTAATAAGCTTAAAATATAACAGTAAGTGTTAAATTATTAATTTATAATATACATTATATATGTCATGCACCATAAATAAGGTTTTCATATAATGCATATATTATGATAGTTATTAAAAATTAAAAAACAATACATTGCCTGAACTTATCTAGCGTCATACTATAAAATTCTAAATCATTTTACTGATACATATATTATTATGCTGTGCACTACACCATTATACTTTATAGTACTGATTAACCAATATAAACTTTTATGGTTTGACTGATGTTTTTTATAATTGAAAAATCAACAATTTTTGTTTGAAAAAAAAAATACATATTATACGGTTCAAGACTAAACAAGTACTTTAGAAATATTAAATTGTTATTTGAAATCTAGATGTTAGTTAGGTAGGAATTTAATAATAATTTGACTAGATAAAAAAACAATTTTGAAATATAAACTTAACTAAATGGTGATCAAGAAATTGACTTAAGTCACAATTTATAATCTCTGTTAATCAAAATATCTAATTAAATATATTTATTTAAGTTTAGATAAATATAATGCGTAATGGTTTATTTAACATTATGTACATTATTCAGAAAAATAAATTATTATTTTTATGTCATTTTGTTTTTTTTTAATAATTGTCATAGGTAAGTTATAATTTTTATAGTATTAAATTATTTACTTTTTTTTCAACTGTATGATTTAGAACTATATTTATTGTATAATAAAGTAAATTATATATAATAACATAGGCAAGCAACACCTACTATAAGTACAAAAATATCACAAATTTTGATACGTTTAAAATGAATTTAGTGATGTGCCATACTATTTCATATAAAAGCTATGTCAACTGCATTATTAAAATGTATTGCACAAATACATTACTGGTATTATTGGTAATGAAATAATTGTTTTACATTATTAAAAATGTCTAATATTATAATCACTGACCAAAAAACTGTTGGTATCATCCACTACAAAGGTATCTAATAAATTAATATTTATAATTTAATATCAAGTTCTAAATGATAAATAATAGTTGTTTACAATACCAATATAAATAAATAATTGTCAATTTTTTTAATCTTTAGTACCAATTTAACATCCAGTCAAGTAGTTTGGTTAAGATGTATGAATACATGTTTAAAATATGGTATTGGATGATAACAAATACTATATTTTATTACAATATAACAATATTCTGAACATTTGAGTAATACAATTTTGTTTTCGGCTCACTCCAATTCTATTCTACAAGGTTTAGCATCTCTGTTGTCTTCTTTGTCAGATTCTTCATTTTTGTTTGTATCCACTTCATCAAAATCATCCCACTCCTCCGTGATGTTAACTGGTACGGCGGATTTACAGTCATCATCATTTTCTTCAAATACATCTTCCAGGGTAACAGTTTCTACTTCTGTAGTTTCTTCATTGTAAATGACTTCTTCGCTTTTTATTAGATCATCAATTTCATGTGTAATATTATTTTCAGCTAAAACTTTGGCCCCAGGTGGTATATTATCAATAACAGAAATCAATAGCTCTTTGGTTGATGAAGTTGAAGGAATAATTTCTTCAACTTTATGGAAATTTCTCAAGTGTCCTTTAAGCATCAAACTTGAACGGAACGTCCTATCGCACTCAGAGCAAGTATAACTTCCATATTCTGTTTTTGATTGTGGTTTAATGCCACATTTTTCCAAACTCTTATGTCTTTTTAGATGAACTTCAGTTGTAGCAACAAATCCACAATCGTCACATTGAGGAAATTTGAAATCAGCAGGCGGCTGAATTTTGTGTTTCGTGTACATGTGATGTATTTGTAAGCTCTTGCGTACAGAAAAGTGTCCACAGTGTTCACAAACTCTAGTGTCTTCTTTCTCATTATGTTTTTCTACCAAATGTCTCCTGTATATTAAATAAGAATCTAATTTCAATGGATCTGCGTCAGTTCCACAAAGATTACAGGACCAAGGTCCAGTTATGTTCATGATATCCGGCTTGACTTTGTGAGTGGTAATTGGTTTTTTAACACCACTCCCAGCAGGTAAGATTTTCTCAACTGAATTAGGAGTGTTGATAATTATGCTTTCAAACTGGCTTTGATTAGTACTAGACATAATTTTTAATTTAATGTTACCTTTACTTTGCAATAAATGTGGGTATTTCTTTAAGATTTCTTGCACTACTTTGCTATTGGTGTTCTCTGGGTCTGTATCACTGACAATTTTTAATTTCTTGCCTCCTGGCGATGATATAGTTTGAGTCTCACATTTAATGACTTGGGTTCTATGACCCTTGTCCATGCTCTTATTAATCAATTCTCCATTGGAAGCTCTCTTGAGCATTGCCTTTGCACTATCACAATTTTCTTGTTTAATTAAAGGCGCACTATCATACTTGGGTAATTCAAAAGTTTGTTCAATAAACTCAGGTACGTCATCGGCATCACATTCAAACCGCATTGGTTTATTTTCGCTCAAAATATCTTTCACTTTCATTGTATTAATAAAAGTAGATGCTGGTGTATGTTCTGGTGGTGATCTAACGTTCGTATAAGTTTGAGTGGTTGGTTTCTTTGCCGGCCTATATTGATTTAGTGCGATTGCTGAATGAGTTCTTGATGTTGAAGCTTGTGGGGATTGATACTTAGGAGTTACTTTGTTTGCTCCATTCTGTGACTCCAGAAGCTTAAGTAACACAGTAACCTGTAACATGTCAGCTACTTCGATTAAACCCATACGACTGTCTTCGGTGTAATGAAGTTGTCCGGTATACATAAACATGATAACACTCTTAACTGCATCAAAGTCTAGATGTACAGGCATTGTCATTGTTTTGTCAGTACTTGGGTGGGAAACAAAATAGTCTGAACACGTATTCAAAACAACTCTATGGACTTTAAAAGATTCATTTGTTGCTGAACGAATGGTATAGTCGCAGTATTCATCTTTTTTGGCCAAGTTGTTGAGGCGCTGCATGAAGAAATTGCCCCAGTTGTCAATTTTCAATTGACTAGGAACCGACATAGTTGCTTACGAAAAATCTAAAAATTAAATATTATATATTAGAATTAATTTTGTAAGTATAAACATTTTAATAATACTTTTAAAGACTAGGTAACACAATGTTTTAGATTTATATAACTTGACCTATATTTTCATTAATTTGATTACACTATTTAATAATATACAATTTGTATTTGTAGGTACATGGTAGGTACAAAAAAAAAAAATTGTTAAAATAGATTTTAAATTAGAATATTCATGCAATTGATTTGATGATAAATAATTTGACTACATTTTACCATCATACAAGAACAAAACAATTTATACAATTTATGTAGGTATTCAATGTCTTATCTACATATTTGTTACAAATCAAAAATATTGTTCATGGCATTGGTTCTAATCATATACCTACTTAAACTAAATAGTTCATATAGATAATATAAAAATTCAAAGTTTATATTTATATATTTTGGACATTATTGAAATCAACACTATAATAAAACACAAAGTCCTGTGTCATATAGGTACTTAAACTAATACTTGGATGTAAATTGAAATTGAAATTAATGCAATTAGGTAAGTAGATAAGAATGTAATACATTCAAATTTACTTTTCAAACTGTTCAAAATATGTTAACAAAGATTAATTGCAAAGATAACCAGGTGAATTGAATCAAACATTTCAACATCCTACCAGTGGCCTATTTGTTTTTTTACCTATATGATGTAAGTAGGTATATTATATAACACGCAAGAGAGAAATAGTATGTGCCTACCTATCTCAAGCGACTATTAAAATAAATGAAAATGTATAGGCCAATCATGAAGACTAGAATAAGGAGACCAAACTCGTACGACCACAGGCTTAGCTGCATACTCTAGGGTTGCTACTTTAACCCGCATAGTATAGAGATTATTTATGTTTTTTGGAAAATATATGAATTATTTTGGACCATGACCCTCTTTAGATTTTATAGCTTGTACAGTTACACATTTATACATGTGCATATGCGTGTACTTCATAAATATTATTTTAATCTTTGTGTAAATAATTAAATTATTCAATGCGTTAACACTATATCTAGTTATTTTATACCTATATATCTTTAATCACAGCAAGTCTGAGCCTGATACTATTCAATACACCATACATAGTATACGTGTTTTATACCAAAGTATGTATCGCTACACTGAAATTTGTTCTTGAATAGGTAACATGTTTATGAAATACACACTTATGCACATGTATAAATACAAGCTGTAAAATCTAAAGAGGGTCATGGTTCATAATAATGGATATATTTTCCAAAAAACATGAATAATCCTTATGGCTTATACTGCACGGGTTAAAATAGCAACCCTAGTGTACGCAGCGGAGCCCACCCTGTGGCCTTTTGATCTTGCGACTCATTTTGGGACGTTATCAGAAGCGGAGTTTGGTCTTCTTATTCTAGTCTTCATGAGGCCAACAATATTTTCATATCGATCAATAGGTAGGTAAGTAGGTTGGTGGTGATCTGTCTTACGTAGGTATATATGTAGTTATGTCTCACCTACAATGGCAGATCGTTAAGCAGCTTGTCGTTGAAAATATCAGTCTGGAGGCAGCCTCTCACGCTTCGTGTTCTGGAGTTGTCCAGAGCTCAGTGGCGATCTGTAAAATACGACAGCGATGAGTACGTGCAGATCAACGGTGGTCGAGACGACGAGCCAAGACGATGGTCAGTCCGACCGGTACGACGATACCGCCATCGCCTCCGCTCGTCGTCTGGTCCGAGGCCGTCATAGCAGCCGCCAGAGTACGCCGACGGGTAAAATTATTGTTATTGTTATTGTTATTATTGTGGAGTTCGACGCCACTGCCGTTATCGGCAAGCCGCCGCCGTCGTATTCCTGTGCATACAGAGCGGCGCGCGTAAAAACTAACGACGGCGACGATGTTGTTAAGGTATTAATATTATTATATTAGTCAAACAGAATGCGACGGCTGCAGCAAACAAGCAGCAGACCGACCGATCGGCCCGCGTCGAGCGCTTACCACAAGATAGTGCTGGGCGTCCCGGTACGTGCCTCGATGGTCAATGGACGTGTCCAATATACGTGTGCCCGTCAATCGTTGTCGCTGATCGGCGTTCGTGGTCCGTGGATTCGGTGGCTGACAGATTTGCGTGTTGACTGATCGCCGATCGGCGCCTTGGCGACGTCGGAAAACGGGGAACGGCTTGACGAATAGTTGGGCGGCGGCGGCGGGCTATTGCGGCGGGCAAACGATAGCAGCGGCCATTGGGACACACTCCGGACGGGCTCACTGCTTACGACGCGCCACCTGCCGATGACGGCGGCGGCGGTGGCGACGGTGACGACGACGACGACGCGAAGCGGTCGTTTGCTCGCGACCGCAGTGCTGCCACACGGCTGATCGTTTTCCGTTACGCACGGTTCCGCCGCCACGGGGTTCGTTATCATCATATAATCATATTGTTCTGTGTTATCATCGTCATTCGTCAATTACGTCGAGCGGCAAGCGCCGCGTTTGTCGTTTGTCGGCAAACGTCGGGACGTGCAACCAAAATATGGCAAATAATGTGAAATAGGTAATCAATTAGGAATTATTTATCTATAAAATGATCTTGAAATTTTAAAATTTTAAAATTCACAGTACTTTTCAAAAGCGCCGAGAAAAACAAAAGAAAAATCAAGGAAAAACGGGAATTTTTACGCAAAATCGATTTTTCAGAAAATTGAATTTGGTTTGTGGTGTAACTTTAAAACAAATGACCGTAGATACATGAAATTTTCACTGGTTGTTTATATTTGCATTTTCTATACACGATAACATTTTCAAAGTATTTTGATTTATTTTTAACTGTTTAGGGACATTTTCATTTTTCATTTTTTTTTAGTTTTTTTTCTAGAAATATCAATAAAATTTTATTTGTTGGTTAAAAAAACTTGAAAATTTAATAGAAGGCTCCTAGTATATTGTTTCAAAGGCAGATGAAAAATATTAAAAATCGTTAGTCACAGATTTTTTTTATAAGCATTTAAAGTTCAAAAATTGACAAAATATGGAAAAATCACAAAAATTAGCAAATTATTTTGAGTTAAGAATTCGTAAACATTTTTCTTTTTAAATTTAAGATTTGAAAATCTAATACAAGATTACTCATAAGATTGTCTACCTTTATCAATAAAAAAATCTCTACCGGAAAGTCAAATTAAATTTTTATGAGCGTTTGAAATTCAAATTTTTACAACATTGGATATTCACTTGATTTCTCATGTAGCGATTTTCTTATTTTGTTGTAATTCAAAAACGAATAACTATAGATACATGAAAATTTCACTGAATGTTCAGATTAGTATTTCCTGTACACTGTACAATTTTAAAAATATTTCGACTCTTTTTGAGCTGTTTACGGACATTTTCAGTTTTCAATTTTTTTAGTTTTTTTTTTCTATAAATATCAATAAAGATTTATATGAAGGGCCAAAAAATGTAAAAATTTAATACAAGACTCCTGATATATTGTTACAATATCAGTTCAAAAACATTGAAAATACATAGACACAATTTTTTTTTATAAGTATTTAAAGATCGAATTTTGACAAAATTTATCAAAATCTCGAAAATTATCAATCATTGTAATTAATAAATTATAAAATGTTCAGTTTTTATAGCTAAAGATTGCAAATTTAAAACAAAGGTTCTTATAAATAGTTCATACTGTAACCAAAAAATCTAAAAAATATATGAACACAGTTATTTTTTACAGACATTTTAAATTCAAATTTGGACGAAATTACATATTAAAATCAATATTAACGATCTTTGTTTTTGTTGTTATTTAATAATATTATTCGGGGATATATGAAACTGAAAAATCAAAATATTATGGCCTATATTTTCGTGATTTTTCCATATTTTGTCAATTTTTGAACTTTAAATGCTTATAAAAAAAACCTGTGACTAAGGATTTTTAATATTTTTCAAATATCATTGTAACAATATAGTAGGAGCCTTGTATACAATTTTCAAGTATTTTTATTCAATACATAAAGTTTTATTGACATTCATAGAAAAAAAACTAATAAAATTGGAAACTGAAAATGTCCCTAAACATTTCAAAACAAATCAAAATATTTTGAAAATTTTATCATCTATAGAAAATAGGAATATAAACAACCGGTGAAAATGTCATGTATCTACGGTCATTTGTTTTAAAGTTACACCAAAAACCAAAATCGATTTTGTAAAAAGTCGATTTAGCGTAAAAAATCCCGTTTTTTCTTATTTTTTCTTTTTTTTTCACTGCAAATTTTAAATTTTGACCTTCCCAATGCACCAAAAATATTCACTTTCACATCAAACAAGATACTGAAGTTGAAAATATATATAATATTATTTGGTTCTTAGGAAATTTGTGTATCAAAAATTAGTATAAAATATAAATTATTTAAAATATTGATAGGTAAATACCTAGAAAAAAAAACAGTAAGACTTTGAGAAAAAAAAATAAATATAACTAGATTCTTATAATAGTACCTATATAGGTACATTAACTCACCTTCGTTCTTCAGTAAAGCCGTATAGGTATACAACGTGCACCGTCTCCACCCGAAACACACACAAACTTACGTAAGGTGAAGTGGGGTAAGTGCCTAACTGGGGTAAGTGCGTTTTCCAGTATTATGGTGGGAAAAATAAATTCTATCACTCATATCAATAATGAAAATTAATCTACAATATAGTGGGAGCTTAAATATCTAATTTGCAACACTGTACGTTTATTCGTTTGCGTGCTATCAGAGTTGATATCAACAATTGTAATATCACTCGCGTTTTAAAAAGTAGACTTGTTATCAATTATTCTTTTTGGCAATTCAAATTTATTTGGGAAGCTTCTAAATAAGCTAAGTTGTGTAATTTTATGTGTAGCTTAGGTTTTTAGTGATATTTACGTGTTTGATTATACAATTATATTCGCTAATTCGGATTACGCTCTTCCCCCGTGTAA